GCGGTTAGATTTGTTTTACGGGGTAGGGTTGCTAGCCCTATGCCCAACCTTCCCTCTTTACCCGGGCTTAGGACCGGCTAGTAACTAGTGAACTAGTTAACCAGGCGGGGTTCGACACTGTCGAATGCCTCTTCAAAATCGATGAAGTTGAGGTGCAGATCCAGTTGACTGGAATTCTACGCTCCCTTCTATGATGATGCGTTGCGTTGCAATTTGATCCGCACATGATTTATTCTTCCTGAATTTAGCCAGCCTGATCCGGTTGGAATTTTGAATGCAGCGCCTCCTTCACTCTCTCCAAAATTATGCCACCTAATATTTTGTTTTAGGTGGAGGGGAACTGCAGCATGATTCCTCACCACTTCTCGAAAACATTTAGGTCTCCCTTGTTTGGCAGATTGACAAGGTAGCCGTTCTTCAAATCACTGCGCAGATACCTCTCCTTCTTTCCAAACCTCTTGCAATAGTGATGTGGCATGAACACGACCGTGGTTGCCCCTGCATCTGTTTCCAGTGCTTCTGGTGGAATTCCATCTGGTCGTGCTGCTTTCCCGCATTTCAGCCACTTTATGGCTTTCAGGACTTCACTTCTCCTCTTGTCGGAGGGCTTGTGTTCACTGGTAATTCTGTGGCTGCGTTGCTGGTGTTATTTGTGGACGAGTTGCAGGTGGTGATGGTCGATTGAAGTGTTTTTCAAAATGGTCACCTCATCATTTCCTTAGTTTCTCCTCTTCGGTCACCAGCTTTCCTTCACTATCTCTCAGTGCTTTCATCTGTGTTGATCTCTTGTCAGACAGTAACTTGGTTATTTGATGTAGTGTGGTCAGGTCTCTGTCTCTCCAGTAGCCAGCAGTCTGTTCTGCTTCAATGCATAGTGTGTTATAGAAGTGTCTTTATTCTCTGCGCGCACTCCTCTTCACTTCTCTGTCCAGTGTAGTGTTTTATAGGTTGTGTTCAGTTCCCCCTTCTGTTGTTCATCATTACAATGCACTGCACTAGTTCATCTTCTCCCTCACCATCACCATATTCCTTTCCCTGCTCTATCACCTCCCGTGTCGAGATCCGTCGACATCCATTCCTTGTCTTCTCTCTTCTTCATTCCTAATACGGTTGGTTGTGCAGGCTTATTTCCACTTCGCTTTCACACAGTTCCAGTTTCCTCCCACACACGTTCCTTCACAGATGCTGCTCAATATCTCCCATTTTCTCCTGACAACTGACTGGCGTGAAGATGGATATCATTTATAGTTTCACCCTTCAGTTCAGTCTCTGTTCTGGGTGTTCAACTTCAACTGTGTGTCGTCTATCACCAGCTTCCTCGAATTGGACGATTTCAACTTGATCTCCGAGGTAGGTTGCCTCCACCAGATAGTGAGTGCTGTGAACCAACTACATCTGCTCCCCTTCTTCATCTCATTTTGCTTGTGTCCAGTAGTCTGACTGCGTCTCCATATCCACTTTCTTCACATTGAGATGAAGTCGATTTCTAGTGTATGTATTTCTAGTGTGGTGAAATCAAATCCATGTCGCTGCCTTGTGAATATCCTTGTGCTTGTTTGTACACACTGCCTCACCTCCAATCATCAAATTGTTGAATGCACAGAAGTTTGCAAACAGTTCTCCATTCTCATTCATCATTTCACCAAGTGCTTCTCAACCTAGGATCACTTCTCTTCCTGTGTTGTCTGCTCCTCACAGTTCGACATTCGTGTCACCCCACCCATTGGAATTTCGATGTCATCGTCGCCAACTGGGGTGGAGTCTTGTGCAGTACTGTCTGTGCAGTTGTCTGTACAATTTCTCCTTCTTCTCTTCATCTGCGTCCGCATTATTTGTAGGTGCACAGCGTAGCATTGGCACTGTATGCTTGTGACTTTGCTTCCTCCCTTCTCAGTCGAATCCATCTTGCTATCATGATGCTGATCCTGTAGTAGGAGATTGGTTCCCATTGCATGAGAGAGAGAGAGAGAGGGAGACAGCCTTCGATGCTCTTCAAGGGGATATGATGATAGCCATTCGAAAACTCAGTGTGGTGTGCTCGTGGTTGTCGTTGGGATGACAATGTTGGAGTAGATTATTGACTCTCCTCTCCAGTTGACAGTTTGCAGAGTCCACTTCCACTCCATCTGCTTTAGCAAATTCCTCGCAGTCTCCCAGCCTACCAGCCTACTTCTATGCTACACCTCCTCATCTCTTTGGCAATCTGGGTAGCCTCGTCAGCCAGCTTCAAACATGGTGCAGACATTCCATGTCCCCATCCTTACTTTCGTTTTCGTCGAGAGAGAGAGGAGACACATAGGCCGATTGGCTTCCTGAAGGTAGGCTTTCACCAACCGGTGTCATTTTGTCTCTCCGAATGCAGCGAGGAACAAGTTTGTTTTTATGTTTTATATTTTCTATGTGCTTTGAAGTTTGTTTAGCGGTTGGATTGGTTTTCTGGTGTCGGGTTGCTTGTAGTATGGCCAACCTTCCCTCTTTATCCTTGTTTAGGACAGGCTAGTAACTAGTGAACTAGTTAACCAGGCTAGGTTTTCTCAGAGTCATACTGAGTGGTATTTCGTCATTTATAAACTGCTGGAGCTGGGCTCAAAATTACAGATGCACTAGGGACAACAACTGAAGTCGTAACAAAGCGTCATCGCAAAAACAATGAAAAACGGCTTTTAATCAGCTAAGTGCGGGGCTCTCTATCGACTGAATTACTAAGCTCAGCTACTTACTGTGTTTTAGTCTCTTTTTAGTCACTGACGGTTTTTCTCGGCCGTCATGTAAATTACTGGCGTTTCACTGTTTATCCATCGTCTTCATGATCAGTTAGGTAAACAGTCAGGTCACTAACCTCTGAGGTCAATCAACGCCCAGAATATTGTCATAAAGCAAGTCTTATATCAGCTTGAGTCAACTTATTAAACGGCACCAGCTAAAGAATAATGGTGAGTATTTGCCCCCTATCTTCGTTGTGGTATGACTATCTAATTTTCCTTCTATGCTGATAAAAAGGAATAGAGAAAGAGACAAGTGGTGAATGTTGACCATTTATCATTAGAAATTTAAGATAATCTTGGATGAAATTTCTGACAAGATAAATAGAATAAAGTCAAACAAAGGTAAGCTACTTTTCTTAGGTGGTTTACATACTTTATACCATTAGTATATAAATTTGAACATATATTGAACATTTGCTGGCAGATAATCAGCAAAGTGTATATGCTATCTTCAGTTGAATAATGCTGTGTTACCCTGTGTGATTGCAGTACTGATTTGTATAGGTTCAAATATCTGGGGCAATATAAGTGAAAAACTTGGGCATTTAAACCAACTAACTCACTTAGAGGTAAGCTTTGTCGGCTAAAAGATCCGATAGAACCAATTAAGCAAAATAATATAATCTACCAAATTCCATGTAATGACTGTGAAGTCAAATACATAGGTCAAACTAGCCGGTCGGGGTCAGTTAGATTAACAGAACATAGGAATTTAGCTAAACATAGAACGGCAGACCCCAATAAGATCAATAACCTAGAAAAACACTCGGCCATTGTATCTGGGGCAACCACCAATCTCCCTTAGTTTGCAGATATGCCTTCCTGTTAAGGCTGAAAAGGTGTAAAACCTAGGTACATGGTTCCCTGTAGAGTTTAGTCAACCACTTAATATCAATCCGAAAACCCCCAGGTAGGGGATCTTTTGGCATGATACACATTTTATAACCTTGACAGATAGAACAACATGACATTAGTTATTCTGTAGTAATCAGTCGGTCGTTAGCTTGAAAAATCGTCTTTTTATTCATATTTTTAAAGAGCTTCAGCCTAGATTTCACTTAAAAATGTATTCTTCAAAAATCTAAACTACTTGACTGGATTTCACAGATTTACAAGATGATATCATTACAGGGGGGGGGGGGAGGGGGGCATGCTTATCAGGACGTTACTTTAAATACTTTACCAAGCATCTGAAGATCAGGATCGAAAAGTAAGGATTGATGAATAGTTTTTATGAAGATATTAATCATATTTATTGTTCTTTGCACTTTCTTCGTTCTCATAGTGTTAGCAGTTCCCATCAAGGAGATAAGTATTCAGAATAGGCTTCGATCCTGATACTCACGTTCCGAATAATAACCTGAGTGATCGTTGACGTGGAATAAATTTGCCAGTTACAGCTACCGTAAGTCCTTTGACTAGTCGTTAGTGGATAACGCTATGGTGTTTGAAGTAATAATTGCTGGATTCGACTCTAAGTGGGGTCAGGATCAATCACTAGGAGGAAGGTATATACAGCTGATGATTCTCAAGAAGGATGAAATGTATGTCCTAGATCCTACTGCTAACCACCATCCACCATTAATCAGTTTCTATTTTCAATAAATAGAATTCAATGGGGATTAAAAAAGAAAACACCCCGGGTAATGAATCCAGTAAAAAGTAAACAGTTACACACTGTGTGTCCTTATGTCACCTAAAGGAAAAACTTGATAACTGAAGTGAGTTTAAGGCGTACTGAAGTGTTAATTTTGTGCTGGATCATTTGGTAGGTTACTTGATCAGATAACTGAAGAATCCTGGCATAATCTCATCTATAGCATATTTTCTTTCAGTGTTACCTATCATACCCATGATAAATGTGTTTCAAACTATTATTATTACTAGTGTTATTGCTTGTATTACACCGTCATTGATTGGACCGAATTGATCAGTCTTTGTTGGCATATGAGCTCCTGTCCGGATGCCTCGATATTGTCTGTGTTTTAATTATGTATATCATTACTATACATAATTAAAACACAGACAATATCAAGGGATCCACACAGGAGCCAAAAGCCAACAAAGACTGATCAATTCGGTCCAATCAATGACGGTGTAATACAAGCAATAACACTAAAACTATACTCGCCACATGAGAAGTTTCTATCGTGGTTTAGTGGTGTAGTGCATAACGCTCTGGCATTCGAAGCGGTCGCTCCCGAGTCTAAATCCCGGTAGAAACAACATCACATCCAGCTGACGAGTCCCAAACAGGATGAAATGCGCATATATTATAATTCCTATTATTACCTTTTTATTACTTGTAATAATAATAATATTTACATTCGGTATTAATGAAAATTGGTTATTTCTAACCGTTAATATTAATTACAGACAAAGAAGAATAAAAGACAGTAAAGCAATTCTACTATCATTCACTCAGTGAAAAGCAATAAATGAATAAGGATTAATGAGAAAGATGGGAAATAATGTCACACTTCAAATATCCTTGTAACCAGACTATGCCAGTAGTAGTGTGAGTAGTAGTAGTAGTAGTAGTAGTAGTAGTAGTAGTAGTAGTAGTAGTAGTAGTAGTAGTATTTATTATCGTGGTTATTCCGAAGTAGTTGAATAGGTAACAATTGGTATTGGTTATGACTGACAATTGTAACATTTTGAACAGTACAGATGAAAACGTGTTTCAATTGGAGGGACAATGAAAAGAGTACACCAGTATGTTCACAGTGATAAGGGTTACTTTTAATAAATTAATCAGTTACCACCTCTGTTTGTTCATATAAAATAAACTTCTCCCACTTCACTTCTAATTATTCACTGAAGAAACAGCTTTCCTAAATGCTTCTTTTGGGTGTCCGTAAAGAATTCTTCTACAAATTCAAAATGTCAAAAATGTTCTTTACCTAACCTGTCTATTTGTTTGAATGAAGTGAAGGATAAACAAGGTGGCTAACAAATCTATCTAGTTTTAATGAAATGAATAATAAAATTCTCTCATTAAAAAACATAAAGATCCTTGTTTTGTTTGTGTACAAGAAGGCTGCGCTACCTATATAAAAGTATTTGTGTCGTTATGTGCACATTTGGATATAGAAAATGCCTAAACAGAAGCCATTAAATTGTCTGTAATCACATTAGTATCAGCATTTCGAACTGGAACTAAATTATCATTATTGTTATAATTACTATGATTAACAATAATACTGTTACAGTTGTTCAGTTTATATTGTTGTTCAACTAGAGTATTTTGAAATTTTGTAAAATTTGATGATAACATACTTGAAGATGTATGTGGTACCCATGATAATGAAGTTGATGGAACAGTAGTATTATCACAGTTAGTAGAAGTACTGAAAGTTTTAGGATTGTTCAATTGAAACGTTGAACCGATTAGTGAATTGAAATTAACCAATGAATTCATAAATGTGGATAATTCAAGTGGTGAAGGGATAAGTTTAGAGAATGACGATGAATTTACTAGTGAACATGATGAATTCATTGTTTGATTAATTATATTATCTGATAATTGTTTTAAATAAAGTGTATTGAAATCATTTATACTACTTTGTGGTATAGATGAATGTAATGATGAAAAAGAGGAGGTGGTTAATGATGAAATTGATTGATGTTGATAAAATGGATTTGTTTTAGAACACTGAAGTATGCTGAAAATATCATGTGCCAACTTTTCTGTATTCATTGATGTAGATGAAAATGATGATAAAGATGAAGAGGTGGTAGTGAAAGGAAACGTTGTCGATGCTGATGGTATTGTTGTAGATGGAGATAAGAGTGGTGATAAAGGTGAAGAAGTAGACCTTGTTGTTTCATTTATTGTTGTTGTTGTTGATGGTTGGAATAAGAAGGATTCACTTGTTGGAATATAATCGAATATCTTATCAACTTTTGAGTTATCAGTATCCATAGTGGTTCCCAGGAGTTGTTGTGAGTTATCTATTCAAAGAAAGTGAAAAGTAAACGATAGAAATTATTGAGATTGTAAAATAGATTAAGTTTATATTTCTCAAAAGCAAAAGTCCCTAATTCTATTCCTACGAAGATCCAAACACATTTTACACTACCAACTAACTGAACTGCATTATTTGTTGGTAAATAATGTTCGTATATGGAATAAGTGTTTCACTTCACTTGTAGTTTACCAATGAGATATGCCTACAGTGTATAGAGTTGGCAATCATAGTGAGAATCGAACTCAGGACTCGTTCCTTTGAATGAATGAATGCGTGAAATAGTACCGAGATGAAGAATGCTGACAGCCTCAAGATGCTTGTATCAGAAACCGTTATGTTGATGGGGAACAAAGTATAACATGAAGCTACAACTACAACTGACGGGGGACTGATTTTTGCTTTGGTCATTTCTGAGTTTACTCTTATTTACAATCAAATAGCTCAAAGATATCATTTATTTACTTTACAATTAAGCAGAATCTATAGAAGATAATTTGAAGTAATTTAACTATGTAAACTTTTTTATTCCCATGTTATTTGATACCGTCAAAAGTACCATAATGAAAAATAAACTTTTTAAAACAATCAAAAGGTGGGTTCGAACTTCTGACAGTATACATCAGTCCCTTTGAATTTTCAGATAAACTTTGATAGCAAGTATGCACAAGCACAAAACCAACGTTGAGCACCTCTTGCTGATCTCCTTCAACTAGCTAACAGAAAAGCATCTACTACTACTTACTTTCAAATCTGCATTAAAAAATAATATCCCCAATAAAACTTTATATTTATTTATTTATATTCATTTAGGTGATATGTAGGAAACTCATTAAGTTGATACTCATCAAAGACTGACACCAGTTCGAGAACTAATGAAGAAGTGGAAGCATTGGACATCTGTTTTGTCTTAGTATGCGACTCCTCAGGAATGCACACCCATGACCCCATCAGGGTTCAAACCCACGACCTTCAGTTTTCGAGATAAACACATTATTGTCGAGCCACTATGTCGGAATACAGTAGTCGATATTTTCTACTATTATTATTATTATTACTCCCTTGGGTTCCTAATGGAATATAGGGCTTCAGTAGCACCTCTCCAGTGACCTCTGTTCTCTGAGATCTTTTGAACCTGGTCCCACGACAGCCCACAAGCTCTCATTTCCTCCTCGCACGATCTCCTCCATGTCACCCTCAACTCGGACACCCAACTCATCGCTTCCCATCGGGTTCCACTCCACGGCCTGGCCTGACACGTGATGTCCACCAATGGTCTTCTCAGTGTATGTCCAATCCATCTACACTTCCTCCTGCATATTTGTTGAGTGATAGGTTCTTGGTTGGTTCGTTCCCAGAGCTCCTTGTTGCTTATTCTTATTATTCTGGCCATCTGATCTTCAGTAGCGAGCCAGCGTAGGCAGCAGCTGTTGTTGATGAATGTCTTTAGTTTGTTGGAAATCCCTCTCGTAATGCACCAAGTCTATCAACCATACAGAAGCACTGACTTGACTGACGTTGGTGTTGAAAATCCACATCTTATTCCACATGCTGAATGGAGTGCAGAAGATCTCCACACTGGTTTCAGGCTAATGAACGCCTGTCTTGCTGTCTTTCCTATCCTGGCTGGCTGTGACATCCTCATCTGTGCCTGTGCTGCCTGTAGTTGAAATGATGCTTCCTAGATAGGTGAGAGAGGCTACTTCTTTTAAGTTTCTCCCGTTGATGGTGATCGGAGCTTGTTGTTGTTGTTGGTGTTGGTTGAGTACCTTCATCACCTCTGTCTTCTCCACATTCGCTTGAAATCCCGTCTTCGCTACCCTACCTCGCCTCTTCTGTCAACTTGCTAGTTTCCGCCTATGTAGATCTAGATCTTCAAGTTTGTACCACAAGACACTAGACACAAGTCACCGGCGAAATCAAAATCTTCTAGGTTCTTTTCCGCAGTCCAGCATATCCCACTCTTCTCGCTCCCCACTGTCATCTCTTGCATGATCCAGTCGAGTCTACCACAATCAGAAATGTCATGGGTGATAGTAGACAGCAGCCTCGTTTTACTGCTGTCTTCACTTCACCCCAAAGGCATCACTGAGCTTCCCATTGTGAATTACTTCGCATGTGGCATCTTCATATAGTTGTTGAATGAAATTGATAAAGTTTGTAGTATTCCGTAGTATTGAAGCAACCGTCAAATTACTTCTCGGTCGATTCTGTTGAAGGCCTTCTCAGAGTCGATGAAGTTGAGGTAGATGGTTGACTGCCATTCTATACTCTGCTCTATGATGATACGAAGCGTTGCAATTTGGTCTGCACATGATTTGTACTTCCTGAAGCCTGCCTGCCTGTTCCGGTCGTAGTTTTGAATCGAGTGCATCTTTAAGCCTCTCCAGGATGATGCGGCTTAATATTTGCTTGCTCTGGGTGGACAGGAGAGTGATTCCGCGCCAGTTCTTGCAAACACTGAGGTCTCCCTTCTTCGGCAGTTTGACAAGGTAACCCTTCTTCCAATCAACAGGCAGGTACCTTCTCTTCCTTCCACACCTTCTGCAATAGTGGTGTGAGCATGTCCACTGTTGTCTCTGCGTCCGTTCTCAGTGCTTCTGGCGGGATCCCATCTGGTCCTGCTGCTTTCCCGCATTGATATTTTCTTACTTCTTTTAATTCGCTATGTAGCGCGATCTTCATACAGTACCACTGCTGAATATCTGTCCTCATATTCGACTTTGTTTATCCCCACGACTCACCACTTCTCTTTAAGACTATAGGAAATTTCATCTCGAAGCAAGTCACTAATGAGCGGTGAACAGTAATTCAATTTAGAGTTTTGTGGGGATTTATTAATTTCAGTCCGTAATGAATACCAGCTTAAAATCACTAAGTCGCCACAAGTTTCTGAATTGAATCAGTTATTATTATCATTGTTATTATTATTATGATCATTATCGTTATTATTATTCAGCTATACAGCTGTTGAAAGCCGGGAACGCTTTTTTCTTCTTAGAGTAAAGTTGTTCAGCAGTGCACCTACTGCCTCAGAAATAATTGATTTTTGAACCCTTATATTCAATGATTAGCATGTTACTTAGCCTTCAGTAAAGGAGTTAGAAACCAGTAGTCTACATTTTCCACTTTAGTCAACTCACAATCATCATCATCATCAATATCAACATAGGACCAGGCATTACCGCGTAATGGTCCGAGTTCACAATAAGGTATTACTATCATACTTGTTACTAGTACAGCAAGGGCACCAAGAAATGTGCCACACAAAACCATATAAAAGTACCATTAAGACATAAAGCAAAATAAAGAGGATAAAAATAAAATACATTAAGCCTAGAATGACTAAAAGGACAGTTGAGTAAGATACATTTCAAATAAAACATTCATTACTTTTCAGCAGCAGAAGATAGGAGGAAGCTACAGTATGACTGCCCCTGGTTTCGATTCTGAAGCATATCTGATAATGTCTCAAGCCACTGAGTTGCGTGATCTCTCAGACCCCACCCAGAAAGTGATGATGCATCAACAGCCACTAACCAGATACAACCACCCTTCATTTCACGGGCCAACGTCATACATTGACCACCCATCCGCTTCTTCCATCCAGTCCCAGGGCAAGCAAACAATGAACGGTATGGAAGCCCTTGAGACGACATGCGTAACATATGTCCAAGCCACCAAAGCGGATGTTTCCAGATGACTTTACTTATTGAATGACGATCTCTATCATGCCCAAACACACATTGTCGTACCTCAGGATTACTTACATGGCCTTGTCATCGGATACAAGCAATCCTACGAAGACAAAGATGATCGAACACACGGAGTCGCTGCACATCCTCAGCTCGGAAAAGCCAGATTTTACAGGCGTAGAGCAGAACTGCCAGTACTGAAGCGTTGTAAACCCTATCTTCTACGGTTAGACTAACGTCATGATGGCGCCAAAGGTGACCCAGATTGGCGTATGTCACTCTGACTTTCTTTATGAGGTTGGGAATTTCATCACACACCTCCGCCGACACTCACACAACTACCTAGATACATGAACTTTTCGACTACTTCCAACGGCTTACCATCGAGGGTGAGTGCAGGCACAGGATCCTGGCAATCTTGCAAAAGTACTTTGCACCTCAATGGTACAAAGCACATACCACACTTACGGACACTAATCGCCAATTGATTAATTGCGACTTGAGCAGCCTGTGTGTCGTCGCATAGTAAGACAATATCGTCCGCACATCAAAGTCGAACAACTGCTCTCCGGGTAGTAGACCTACACCATCATGACTCACTTCCTTCAGAGTTGTCTCAAGAATGCCATGGATGGCAAAGTTAAGGAGGAATGGGGAAATCAGGCAACCCTGCCTAATTTCACTGCTGGTTTGGAACAATGGAGACAGTTGGTTGGTTGTATGCCCTCACTCTATCTGAGGTGTTATTGCATAGGGATTCCAAGATATTAAGAAATTTCTCGGAGTAAATATCACCAGTTAATATTCAGTTTAACACACCTCCTCTTTTCGGACATAATCAACAGTTATGTCTCCGCATTGCTACAAACTTTATGATGGCTTCCATCATCTCACACTGTAACTACAAACTACCAAGCTTAGTTTGTGTCTCAACTTATCCTGACCTGGATTATCTAAGATACAAGCACGTCATTAGCTGCAGGCTAGTCGATGTTCATGATTGAAGTTATTCAGTACTGTATGATTTATTTTGTAAAATAAAATACTTCATTTGTGGTAAAGTGAAGAGTTATGAGATTTCAAATATTGTTACTTATTTAGATTTCACCCAAATGCCACCCTTCAGTATCGTGCACTATAAGAGTTATGATTCTGACTGAAAGGGGAGGGTCAACTGAATAGTCTACTTGTTGGCTAGTAGTGGAATCGGGGATGTGCGTTTTGTCCTGTTTGGGGCTCGTCAGGTGGGTGTGACTACAACCGTGTGAGCGATACTATCCCCATTGAAACT